CCTGGGACTGCGGAAGCGATGGGGCCATCGCTGGGCGTACACGAGCTGCTGCACGTCTTCTCCTTCCTGGAGGCCCGAGACCTGCTCCGAGCCGCCCAGGTGGACAAGGTAGCGCGCCCGGGCTGGGGACATGGACACTGAGTGCCCGATGCCGGCCCTTCTCTGGCCCGTTTCCCCGTCCGGGTTGGGGCTTTCGGCGGCTTGAAGCTGTGACCGGCAGAGGGCACTCTCGGCCCGCAAGGTGGCTGCTGCCCCGGCCGCTGGAAGGGTCGCCCCGAAAGGTCCCATCCCTGCCTACAGAACGCTCGCGCGCTTCCATCTGGATTCACTCCAGAGATTAGTGTAGGGAGCGGTTTTCTTTCTGGAATTTGCCTCGCTGGCTCTGCCTGGAAAGCCACGCCCCTAGCCCCTCCTCTAGGGGGCGACCTCGTCCTGTTTCTCCGCAGCCCCGGAGCCCGCACTCCGCCCTGGCCGTGCCGAGTTCCCGTTGAGTGCGCTAGTCTCGCCTGGGCCTCATCCCTGTTGACTCCTGCCCTCATCCCCTCTTCCTGGGACTCGGCACAACTCTAAGCGCTGTTTGTAGGGTGCATTTGGTGACTGCTTCCCCCGCTACTCATTCCTAAGAACAGGGGTTTTGTCTTTTGCATCACAGACTCTTGGTGGTGGTGGTGAGAATGGCACCGTGTGTTAGACTGGTGGCGTGAGACTGGACCTGGACTTGGCAACCTCGGTGCTTGAGTTCTGGCTAGGAAAGAGTTCACAGCCAAGACTCAAACTATAAGAGAACATTTATTTAGAAAATCACAGAGCCAGAGTAAGTAATCAGTAGGCAGAGGCAAAGGACGGGCCCTTGAAGCTTAGAAGTGAGGAAGGTAAGGGTGACCCCTGGGGGGCAGGCGAAAGGGAAAGAAAGGCTCCGATGTGCTCCCTGGAAGGAGCGTGCACCAGGTCCTCCTCAAGGTTTTAAGCGTGGAGGTGTTAGGGCAGATTCCGGGGGAATCACTCAGTGGGATACTCAGCAGCTTTTCATGTGTGTCCTTTCAGGGTCAGGGTCTCCACTGATGGATTGGTGGGCACCAGGGCAGGTGGTCATTATGCAATGCAGCTGGTCCTGAGGTCAGCCCTGGTGTTGCTTATCTGGTTTTGCTGCTTTTCTGGGCCTGGAGCTGAAATACAACTGAGGCCTAGATGTTATCTCTAGGGAGGAAAGGTCAGGGGCAGGGGTCTGAACGGAATGACCAGAGATATGAAAGATCAGGGGGTCCAAACCACAGGACCAGTGACATGCTAGGGGAGGAAAAGTCACCCTGGGGATGAGGGCGCGCCCTGCAACCGGATAGGGCCCAAAAGACTTCTTAAGGGCTGAGAAACTTTGCTTTAGGTGAGCGAGGGCTGTAGAAATGGGAGCCTGGGCTCAGGTAGCATGGCCATCGTGTCTTCCAGGGATAGGACCCTCAGTGGGACTGGGCCACAGAAATCTCCGCAGTGGTTCCCACCGAAGCATGTAGGCTCCGGAATCCAGGATGCAGGCGTGGGCCTTCCACATGCCACCTGAGCCTCTTCCAGATGCTTCTGCCGAGGGCAGTTTGTAGACCAGGGCCCATATAGAGGCCTCCCCTTGGCAGCTGTTCTATTCCACCATCTTGGCATCTGGGACATCCCTGGGGCCAGTGCCTCAATTTACTCCATCGCAGCAACCTTACAACCTGTGCCCTCGTTTCCAACCCTTCCTTCTCACAGCAGCCAGAGGGATTTCCCTAAAACACGGTTTGACGCACCACTCCTCCGTTCACAATTCTCAAGTAGCTTCGCACTGTTTTTGCCGTTATGACTCCAAGAATTGGTGTAAGCCAGTCTCCAGCTCCTTTCCCCAGAACTCATGTTCTAATTAAGGCAAGTTACTCACTGTCTCTCACTCGTCTGAATCTTTACACAGGTGGTTCTGTCTCTCCCTGGAACGTTTCAGCCATTCTCTTAAAGTGCAGTGACCCATCCTGTGGGACTTGGTCAATAATCATTTCTGAACCCCGTGGCTGCATTGAGTTGGTCATTCTCTCCTTTCTCACTTATGTGGTAGTTTTTATTTCCATATGTCTCAGGAGGAGTTTTCATGAGTGCAGGCACTGGGTCTGATTAGCTATCCCCTCCATAGGGCCTGGCAGGCTAAATGCTAACTGCATGGCAGCAGTTCTCAACCTGTGGGTCGTGAACCCTTTGGCGGTCGAACGACCTTTCACAGGGGTCGCCTAAGACCATCCTGCATATCAGATATTTACATTACTATTCATAACAGTAGCAACATTACAGTTATGAAGTAGCAACGAAAATAATTTTATGGTTGGGTCACAACATGAGGAACTGTATTTAAAGGGCCAGAAGGTTGAGAACCATTGCTGCATGGTGACTGAACAGCTATTCTTTTCTCTCTTCTCTTGTTATAGGTCTGGAATGAGGTTTCAGGGACCAAGGAATTGTGGAGGTGAGTGAATGAAAGAAGAGCCATATGTCTGAAAAGGGGAGGTGGGTATACAGTGTTCACCTGTTAAAATGGGTAAGAACCCAACCCTAGTCTCTGTTCTCATCTCTGCTGATAAGCTGGGGCAGGAATTTCCGTTTGAGGGACATAACTAGTGTATTTCGGTCAGCAGCTCAAAAAGACTTACACTGGGTACGTTTTTTGAGTACTCACTATGTTTCTGCCTCTGTTGAGTATTCAATAAGTGATAGCCCCTACCAGCAGGAAACTGCTCCCTGATTGGGGCACAAGACTCTTTTCTTTATAATGTCCTGAAATATAAGAGATTTTATTAATTGAGTTGGAGGTTGATAGAAGTCAGGGGTACAAGACTCAGGGGAGGAAATATACAGCAAATGAACACAACTGGTTGAACACAACTAAACCACTTTTATTTTCATCTCTGATATAACAACATAGCTATCTAGCATGTATGATATTAGAACTTAAATAAAATGCAAAAAATTAAAGTTGAAAATAAATATTTTAATCATTAAATTATTAAATTTTTCTTTCCTATTCATTTCTCCTTTAGAACCTGACATCTTTTCTTTTGCCCCAAGATAAAAATGTTAGATCTTCTACCTCTGGCTGAATATAGGACAGATTATATCCTTGCATGTCAGCTGGGAGTTGTGGTTCCTTTTAATTACTCGTGATGGAAAATAGCTGTTCACACATGAAGGCGCTTCCAAACATGGAGGGAATCTTTACTTGATTGTTTTTATTTTTAGGATAACTTTTCATTGAAGTATTTTATAATTCTGCAATGCCAGTCTTAACCGTATTTCATTTTCAGTATCATATAGCATTGTTATTTTTGTTGCTTTTCATTTACTTTTTATTGCTAATATTAGAAAAATGATGTCAATCTCTTTAGTCACTTTTGAAGTAAGAGAACTTTTAGTGGATTCCAGTCTTTATCTCAACAATTGTAGATATAACATTTAGTTCTGGAAATTGATTGATCTGTAGGTAAGTAGACAACAGTATGCCTTAGATGTGATTCTCAAAGACATTGTGTCACTGGGAATAAGTGAATTGACTTGTGGATTAGTGCAACTATTTGTAAGCCCTTGCAGAACAATGTTCACCTGTTAAAATGGGTAGGATCCCAACCCTAAACCCTAGTCTTTTTTTCCATCTTTGCTGATCAGCTGGAGTGGGAATTTCCACTTGAGTGAAATAACTAAATATATTTCGGTCAACAGTTCAAAAAAAAACCCTAAAAAAACTCATCAGCAGCTCATCCCCTGACCTCCACATATATGTCACATGTTACCATGTCATGCTTCCAGGTTTCTCAGGTTGTTCAGCTGTCTGCTAGCCAAGTCACAGGCGGGATTTTGGTTCATTACTATTTCATAGTGTTTGGTGCTAACCTTTTTTTTTTTTAAAGCATAAAGTTGTTTCTTGGGATGTTATTGTTTTATGTTATTAAAAAAAGCCCTGGGTTTATGTTTCTGGGGCTGGGACAACAGCATGGCAGGAGCATCATATGCATGTGTTATTTCTGGTGTTGTGCCTATAAAATGTCCTATGGACACAGTGAATAAATGTGGTTAACTGGTCATATGTTTTGAATCTGTACTTTATAATTTACATTGAAAGTGCTGCAAATGACTTAAATACTTGAGGACCTTTAAAATTCTGCCATTTCTTCAACACACTAAGTGTTAGCTTTTTGGTTATAAGTAAAATTGCAAATATTTGATTTTGTTTAAGGTACATAATTTCTGTTGTGTACAGTAGGTTGTTTTGTTATTAATTGCCACCTGTGAAAGGTTTTGGAGCCATGGTATTTTTTTTTCACTTGCTACAATTTCAGAGGCAGATCACATACTTTACTTATATTCACACTTTCACCTTATTTACAGCCTTGTTTACTGTCAAATCATTTTATTTTCTCATTGCTCTTGAATATTGGCCATGGGTCCTTCTTATGGTTTGATGTATAATGGCCTTAGCTATGTAGAAATAGACTTCATTTCCACAAAGAAATGTGTCATCTTTCTTTTTTCTTAAACACATTATTTTCTTGGTCTAGCTTTTCTTTTCACACTGTTTAGATTGAGAGATGAATACAAATAAATTTCTCTTAGCTCTTATTTCAATTAAAAGAAAATCAACAACATTTAAGAATGGTGATATGAGGCAGCTGACACTGGCCTCAGAGTCCAGGAGATAAAAACGATGTTGAAGACTATGGTGGAGCTGAGAGCTCATTCTTGTCCAAAGGTTACAGCTCGCTGTGGCTCCAGACACATTTTGCCAGGTGGGAATTTGAGTTCAGTATCACTAGAGCTGTTTTTACCTGATTATTATGTGAAATCTCCAGATTTTTTAAGTGTCAGCAGCTAGTTCATATAGGCCATTTCAATGCAGGGCAAACAATATAATCTGCGGTCCAATTTTGCCCACAATCTGCCAGTATGTTACTTCTGGTACAGGGACCAGAGTTTCAGTAAGCACAAGAAAACCTTTATCCAACACAGACCTTCTAATACCTAGTGTGTTAGAAGGTCCCTAGTGCGTAACACAGAGCCTGGCGTGTACTATGTGGTCATGACTATACAGGCTGTGATGGATAGACATTTTCTCTGCTAGCTCAGCTAGTGTGGCTCAGTGTTTGAGCATTGACCCATGAACCAAGAGATCACTGGTTTGATTCCCGGTCAGGGCACATGCCCAGATTGCAGGCTCGATCCCCATTAGGGGGCATGCAGGAGGCAGCTCATTGATGTTTCTATCTCTCTCTCCCTCTCTAAAATAAATTTTTTTAAAAAGAAATTATTTCTGCTGTATTTGCTTAGGCCATGGACTGTGAGCCAGCTGTTTCCTACCTGACCATGTTCTTCTTTTCTGTGAGATGTGAGCCCTGCACTGCCACATTAGCTCTGGTGACCGGAAATGCTGGAAGCCTTTGTCCCACAAGCCTCCCTAACCTTCTTCAGCCAGATGTCCATTTCCCTTGTGCTCAGCTCCCATGGCACCATAAGCTACCCCTTCTGAAACTTCTAGTAGCATCTCTCCCCTCAATTTTAGTTTTGCTTATCCTCCTCCTAACCACCAGCTGAGAGTGCTCCTAGGGCAAGAGCTACGTCTCACAGACTAGATGCCCACAGACTAGATGGGGACTCAGTATTCTCTGCAGTGCGGATGAGCTAATATTTCATCGTCATGGTCACGTATAAGTTAAGAATGCAGACTCTTGGAAAATGGTGGATTAATGACCTCTGAAAATGTTCTCCATAAAACCAATGCGAAAACACCCAAATTGTCAAAATCAACGTTTACATAACTCTGGAATTTAACCAGAGACTTATAATAGTCTGGGAAGTGTTTATTCAAGAAAAAAAAATGGCATAATCTCAGTAAGAACAGCAAGCTTTCACTTACCCTATTCCCACAGCTCCCTCCAACTCTGTTAATCTTGAATATCAGTAGTTCCCAATCACAGTGAAACCAGGAGCCTGGCACTCACTGAGGGGGAGAATGGAGTAGAGCCTCACTATTTGACCTCAATCTGGTGTTTCTTGGAAGACCTCGTAGGCTCTCTTTACTTTGCCTGACTTGAAGTTCACCCACTTGAAAAGCCTTTACCTTGGTGTATTTGTCAAAAACAGTTATAGACGGTTGGTTACCTTTGTGGCTGTCAGAGCTGATGTATGACAGTTAGAAATAACAGGCTAACCAAAAAACTTAAAACAAAAAGCTAGGAATGTGATATCCTTAGGGGTTTTGGAAAGCTCAGGCATATTCCTAGAAATCTAGGTCTTGTGCACAAGCAGGACTTTGCGCTAACTCAGGAGAGACCTGACTAAGGTTCTAGGCTCGCACCTCTGGCTGACCTTGAGATTCTTTGAAGGAATGAAGGATAAGGCAGAGCAGTCAGTTGCCCGGCTGTGTGCTGAATGTATGCCCCGACATACACACAGAGCCTTTGGCAATGACTGGGAGACTTAGTGGTTCTAGACCAGGGATGGGGAACCTTTTTTTCTGCTAAGGGCCATTTGGATATTTATAACATCATCCTTGGGCCATACAGAATTATCAATTTAAAAATTAGCATGCTATATTTAGTCAAACATTTAACTCACCCCCAATGCCTTGGCAGGGCCACGCCAAATGACTTCATAGGCCTATACAACCCTCGGGCCAGACATTCCCCACCCCTGTTCTAGACGTTTAGAAAATCTCTGTTCAATCATTAGTGAGCAGTAATTTAACTGAGCAGGGACTTAAGTGACCAGATGTAACAAAGAATACAGACTTTGCAGAATTAGTTAAGAAACATCACTAAACAATAATAACAAACAGCATAAACAACACACCTGGGGGAAGGGGCATTGGATTTATAGAGTTCCACAATATGTCATTTAAAATCTTCAGTTTTCAAGCAAAGTTACAAGTCATGCAAAGAAATAAAGTATGGCTAACATGCATTAACAAAGCACACAAGAGAAAAGGTCCCCAAGGAAGCCTAGACATTGGACCCAGAAGACAAAGACTATAAATCAGCTAATTTAAGTACAGTTGACTCGGCTTTTTATTTTTTCCAATATTCAATCCTTATTGTTGAAAGTATTACATATAACCCTTTTTATCCCCCACTGACCCCTTCTAGCCTGCCCT